AATCCCTACTAATGAATGTTATCTTTTTTCAGGATACAAAATACCTGCCATTATCCAAAGACACATCTGCTTACCTGTATCTTTTGCTTGTTTCTCCTCTTCTTTTCTCTTTTTTTCTAAACTGAGGATCTGATGGCTTTGACCTTTTCTTGTCCATCTTCCATCAGTAATTTTGCACTCCAGTATCAACACCCAACCTCACAACATAAATTAATAGACTAATAGACCTTCACCTTGTATAGGGTTTCTTCTTCTTCTGGGATTTCACACAGAAACATAATTAATACACAACGTGTTTGGATTGACAATATTATGAATGTGCAGTGTATGGAAGCAGCACCAGCAGCCTACACCTAGACCAATGAATGCTGAAGTGTGCATGGTGGTTCACGGCGTGAAGTGTGAAACAACCTGCTAGTGTTTTTATTATTGTTTGTTCATGCTTGCTATCATGCTGTCATCAATTATTTTAACTTGTATTATTTAAGAAGGAAATGGCCCTCAAATAGAGACCACAATGTCACGGTGATATCACGGTTTTAGATCTTTGGTGTTGGTTGTTTTGGGTTTGTTATGCTGCCAAACAAGAATGCATTTGGTCCATATGGACTGCTGGTATCATCTAAAGCTAGTAAGCATGGTTAACAACTTGCATCCATGCCCTCCCACTGAACATTTTGGGGGGATTTCCTTCCTCTTTGGAAGTAGGCCACCCAAACACCTGAGATATCAATGGAAAGCCCAGGATATCCTCTATTTAGTACATCAGGACTCATAAGTCAAAAGATACAGACCAAAAACAAATCTCCATTTCAGAGGACATAAATGAATAGGCTGTTTTTCAGGAGGATATTACCTACAGCTGCAAATGCACATATCAGTTAATTAGTAACAAACTAAAACAAACATTCAGTTAAAACAAATGCACGCACTTGTATGGTCGGTACTAAACAGTCAGCAATAATACTTTCAAAAATGATAAAAGATAACAATTCTGTTAAAAATGATCTAGACATCAAAAACAGCTTAAACACAGCTGATAGATCCAGTCCCCTGGCTGTTAGACTAGCTGTGTCAAACATAAGGCC